ACGCCATGCTCAGCCAGTAAGCGCCCCGGCCATCCCTATATAGGATCCGAACCCACGGCAGGAGTGCCACTGCGCTCCCAGCACCGCACTTTCCCGAGTGAGCCACGGGGTCGGCCCAGGTGCTTTTTATTTTTAATAATTCAATAGGCAATCATGAACCGAATACCTAAACAAAAGCTAGAATGTGATATCTAATGATTTCATCACCAACAATCATCCTCAATCCCTATCACATTATAAACATCATCCTGAGTCCCATATTTATGATTCCCTTGCTCTTGATATCCTTTTTATACCAGTTAATTACTTTAGAGATCTGTAATATGTAGATACATATATACACATATATAGTAATTATATAAGTATATTCCTATAAGTGATATGTCTATATTAGATGTTTCAGTACTTTAAAATGAGTATCATGCTGTATGTAATCTTTTGATATATATAAATAATCAACCTTACATTGCTGAAATCCATCCATATTGCAGCATAAGACTTATTATATGTAATTATGTGAGTACACATCAATTTAGTCATCTGGTACTCTATTGGGTAACTAACAAGTCTAGCACGTTTTTCTGTTTATAGGCTATTTGGAGATCTTCTTGTTTTGAAGTGTTTATTCAAGATTTGTGCTCATTTCTGTACTGATTGACTTTCTTTTTTCTTATTTATTTGTAGATGTTTTAAATAAATCTTAGATTGATGGTTTTATCAGTTATAGGTGCTGCAAATATCTCCTACTCTCACAACTGTGCCTTAGTATTAACATACAGTCTCAATTTTAATGTTTAGTTAGTTACTGAAGCACAGAGAGGGAAAAGAATGGGGGGGAAAGAGTGGAAAGTAAATTTTGAAAAATAAAGAAAACACAGGACATAGTGAGAAGGTTTAACATAGACTTATTTGGACTTTCAGAAGAAAAAGAAAACATAAATAGAAGCAGAATCAATATTTGGAAAAATTATGGCCAAGAATTTTCAGGAATTGATGAAAAACATCATCTCATCAACTGGAGAAATTCTGTGTGTCAGAAGCAAGAGAAATACAGGAGAACCACACCCAGGAACATCATGTTCAAAGTTCTGATAACGAAATAGAAGGGAAGAATCTCAAGAACAGTCAGAGAAACCATGTGTTACCTTCAGAGGGATAACAATGAAATCTACGACTTCTCAACTGATGTTCAAATTCCAGTGTTGGAAATCAGTCCTATAGGGTCTCACCTAGATGCCAAAGGGATATGAAATGTAGTCTCTGGATGGACAGAGCTGCTTCCCAGTCTCATCCACGTGCATCTGGTTGACAGCTGACCACTCCCACCACGCTGGCCCTGCACATTTGTAGGTGCAATCCTAATGCTTTGGTTACAGAAGTATCTTTGGGCCTTCTTAGGGGACATAGAAGAGAATGAGTGAACAGATTAACATGAAAAATCTACCCCAACTTTCTCTCTCCCTAAGAATTTGTATCCCTTTCTCTTCAAGATAACATACCCCAGAGCCTGCTGCAATTATTCACACTAGCCAACCTAAACCTATGCAGCCTGCTTATCCTGCCTCACCCATCCTTTCCTGCAAAAACCACAATAAAGGCTCTTGCCCATGTCCTCCCCTGCTCCTTCTGCTGCCTGACTGCCCGTGGACCTTACCCTGTAGTCCTGCTGGCATAGACGCCTGCCCCCGCTGGGAACTGCAAGAATCAAATTGTCTTTTCAGTGGCACTTGTCTCCTGATGTGGGTTTCACCATACCTGAATAATAGTAACACATTCTAAAACAGATATACATATAAAACCACCCAACACCCCCATTTTGCTTCTCATATTTCCACTCTTTTCATAAATCCAATCTTTCACGTGTGAGACCCAGAAAGGCTGTGAATTTGGTTGATATTCTATTTATACTATCAATAGGATTAGGTTTGGAGCCCAATTTTTTGTTACATTAGCCCTACAGCTATAAGAGAAAAGAAATTTTTTACGTAGCAGGCTCTCTGGTTCTTTGACCATGACGTAAGCCAAAACCCTAAAATGGTTGGCTTGCTGTTTTCTCTATTTAAGCTCTATTCTGAGCAGTTAACCTTCCCCCACAGTCCTTGTGTTCCTTATTCCCATCATAATGGTCAATTGTGACACCAGTTAGTCTACAAAAGCTGGCTTTCAATGGCCACTTCATTCTAAGTGACCATAGGCAGTAATGAAATTACTACCTGCCACAGACTACCTGTATCCCACTTTCAAGTGGAAACAAAACCGTCCAGGTCAGATACCAAACAAAAACCAAACCAAATATCCAATCCTAGACTACCCAGGACAGCAAAAGAAAAGACAACTCCAGAAACAGACCCACACATGCTTATATGGTCAGCAGATTTAGACCATGACACTAAAACAATTCAGTGAGAAACAGAAGGTCTTTCCAACTCACTTGGCTGTGTATACGGAAGAAATGAGTCTCAATCCATATCACACCACACACGGAAGTTATCTAAAGATGGATCGCAGACTTAAATGTGATAGCTAAAATGATAAAGCTGGTAGAAGAAACCAGTGAAACATCTTCTCAATATTGAAGTAGGCAAAAATTTCTTAGGCAAGCTTCAGCACATACTCACAAGAAAAGAAATAATTGATTAAATGGATTTAATAAAAATTAAAATCTTTTGCTCATTACATGGCCCCATTAAGAAAATAAATAGACAAGACACAGACTGGTTGAAAATATTTACCATACATATATCCGGCAAAGGACTCACGCACTTGATATATAAGGAACACCCCCAAATGCATAATAAAAAGACAAATCATCTGAATTAAAAATGGGGAAAAGACTTTAACAGGTGTTTCACAAAGGGAAGTATTGGAAAGGCTGGTAAACACATGAACATGTGTTCAACATCATTAGGAGAGACAGGAGAATGAAACCATACCATTTCACACCCATAAAATGGAGAAGTTAAAAAGACCAACAATGCCAAATGTTTACAAAGACGGGAAGCAACTAGAACACTCTCATCTATTACTAGGGGAGGGGGTAGTGTCAAATGTTATAACCAGTTTGGAAATCTGTCTGGCAGTTCCCTTTAAGTTAAATATACAACTATTCTATGACTCAGCAATTTCTCTTCTAGCTATTTACCCAAGGGAAATAAAAACAAATACCGTATTCACAAAACAACTTGTACAGAACCTTCACAGTTGTGTTATTTATTTATAATGACCCCGAACTTGAAGCAGTACAGATGTCCATCAATAGGAGAACGGATAAATTAATTGTGATCCATCCTTACCATGTAGTACCAGCTACCGATACATGCAACAACAGGGACGTGCCCCTGAAATATTATGTCAAGGTAACGAAAATGGGCACAAAATGTATATGCTATGTTATTTCAATAGTAATAATAACAAACTCCAGAACAGGCAAAATGCATACAGAGTGGAAGGAACCAGAACGGTGGTTGGCTTAAGTAGAAGGGGCGGATGGTGGGTACAGGTTGGGATTGGTGGGAAAGGGTCTTGGGAGATCTTTCTAGAGTGATGGAAACGGTCTATAGCTTGAAAGGGCTGTGGGACAAGCATTTTCTGAAACTCACCAAATTATATACTTAAGCTTAGGGCATTTTTCTTTGTGTAAATTAGACCTCAATTTAAAAAGAAAATTGCTTTGAGCTCTCATTTCTTCCTTATAATATTGGCAAAAATCTGAAAGCTCAGCAACATACCCTGCGATGCAGGCAGAGCAGCTTCCAGGCTCTGAACTTCTGAATGTGAAGCCCAGGGAGCTACCACTTCCTCTTCTTTCACTGAGAAGAGGAGATGCTTTCTAAACCTATGTTTCTTGGGGACACCACCCCATCTGTTTGTAGCCATATTTCCCTGCTCTCCGACTGCCAACATTTTTGTGGTAACTCTGCAGCTTTGGCAAAAATGAACTCTATGCTGATTCTTCTTGCGTTCACCTACCAAAACACTTCGCCCCTCCACTTTCTAGATTCAGTTGGTCGAACAGTGGTCCTGTTCTGACAAAGCCAAAGGAGGTCAGGCTAGAGGGGCTGACTTTTCATCCTCTCTTTTCTTTTCAAAATGCATATGCACAAAAGGTAATGATTTTCCTTCCCCCCCCCCTTTTTTTTTGTTCACAGATCAAGGAATTCCATTTAAGGCAAACTCATAAAACACACTCATATATTTTAAAAATACTCTACGTTTTTTGGTCTTTCTCTTCAAAAATATGCTGAATTGCCTTAGAAAAAAATGCCACTCATTACGTCTTGCCTGGTTAGAAAAAGTATGCTGATGGATGACTGAGAGAAGGATGGACAATCCACACACCCCTCCACATGGTCCGAAATGTACCCTCGGCCTCCACCAAACTAGCTTACCACAGTTTCCTGGAATAGCCTCCTAAGGTCTGTGCTGCTCTTCCTTTGATTCTGAGCTACCCCATGTGCTTTTCTGCTTCAGGTTGAGTTTCTGATGCTTGCAAGCAAAGGTGCCTTGACTACCTGTTGGCGTTGTGTTTCTTTCCCACCCCCTTTCTGGGACATTGCTACTTCCGGAACTTCCTGATCCTGAATCGTAGCATGGCTGCTCATCACCTTTGAGAGCCACAAAGTGAAGCAGCCTTTACTGCGACTCAGGACTGGGTGGTAGCTGTGGAAGCCAAGGAGGGTGAAGGACAGGGATCTTTCTGGACACCAAGTCTGTAGGTCTCAGGACTGAGCTACAAATGAAGGGAGGGAGTGGAGCTGAAAATGTTTACCCCTTTGGAAAATAAAAGTAGCTGAGGAAAGATGCCTGTTTGTGAGAGAGGAAAGAGTGGGCTTTCTGTGTTGGAGGTGCCTGGATGCTCCTCCCCAGGGAAAGATACTCTGTCCAAATAGTTCCAGCACAGCCGATCATCTGAGAACCACTCCTCACAACGTCCACCCACCCTCGACCTTATTGCACAAACTGAGGAGGATACTCAGCTTTTGAGACAGCACAGTGTTTAATCACCAGGATAAGAGAAGGATCACAAAATAGAGAAACAAGGTGGCCCAGGATGAAAGAAGCAAACTGTACCCGGAGTCCCGCTCATGCATATAAGGCTTCCCTGCCAGCTTTGTCTCCGTATTAATCCATAACAGATAACTTGACACCTTTGTGTACACTCCAGGCTTGTCCTTCAGGCCACAGCCCACTCCCCAGCTGACAATGCCCAGCTGGTACCATATGCTTTTCTTCTTTTTCTGGCAAACCAGAGGCCCTCCACTGTCACTCTAGGAGAGAAAAGTTGTTTGGAGTGGAATGGACAGTAGCAGGTTACTCCTACAGCCTATTGAGGAGCAGGCACTTGACATAAGACAAAAAGCATGTATGGTGTCTTTTGATGAGCAGACTTTCTAACTTTGGTTGGGCTCTCCAATTATATGACTGTGCTCTGTGACTATTGGAAAAGTTAAAAGCAATGTGATGAAAGACAATTTGGTCAAAAATGAATCTCCATCATCACTTTCTAGTCTCATGCATTAGTTTTGATGTACCAGAGAGTGGTTTCCTAATCCATTTTTCCTCTAAGAACTTTTGTTGTTTTCCAGAATTCTTCAAATTTTTCCCCAGCCTTTTCACCTCAAGTCCATTTTCAGGCACCCCATTCTTTCTGTTTCTGTATTGTTCACGATAGCAAAAAGTAAAAAACAAAACCAGAAATTCACTATGCTTCATAAGAAGCCACTGGTTTCACACAGTAGGCACACAAACTTAAATACACCGATGTGAAAATACAAAGGTGTCAAAGTGTTATATTGTGGCTTAAAGCATTACATTTTAAACAACTCACAAATTTTAAAACATCATGAAAAAGACTGCCAAATTGCCCCAAGTAAGTGGAGCAGACATAATTAATGTGACACCTGAAGAATATGGTGACTTTCATCCCCCAAACTTTTCGGACCTTTAAAAAAATTCTATAAAAGAGTAATTTATAATAATAAAAAAACTGGAAAAGTCAGATATAGAAAAAGAACATGAAGGGCAACTGTACAGACAAGTAAATATAAAAATAAACACACACGCGATTGCTCATGACAGAATACTTCAGGAAGAATACATGTTGTGTAGCGGTGTTTTCCCTTTGGGGAGTAAACCAGGGAACAAGTGTAAGAGACTGGCTTCCTCTTTACTGGACATCCATCTATACCACCTGGACTTTCTTTACCATGTATTCAAAGAAATAAATGAAAGCAATGACCCTTCTAAGTGTACCCATGCAGAGGCAACTCCTGTTAACATCCTCAAATGTAACTTTCCACATCCTTGTATGCAAATGTGCATAGATCGTTACTATGTTAGAGAAATATTGTTTCACAGTTTACACAGCTTTATTTTTGAAAATGTTAAGTGACACACAAAAAATTGGAAAAAAGCACTACCCAATGATGTGCTATAAATACAAATACAAAACAAAATCAAAAAACAGGATATGGGTTTATTTGATTTTTTTTAAGCCAGATTGTAATTATGAACAAATTGCCGTGTCCATCAGCGTGCCCAGTTTTTTATCCAATGGCTTGGAGTCATTGGAAAGGCACATGACCTCTCTTTACAATGAAGAATTCTTTTTTTTTTTTTTTTGAATAATTTGAAAAGAATCGGTATTAGTTTTTCTTTAAAATTTGGTAGAATTTATCATTGAAATCATCTGGTCCTGGGCTTTTCTCTGATTAAAAACTTTTAATTAATTAATTAATTTTTCTTGAAGCATAATTGATTATATATATTTTGGGGGTACAGTGTTGACTGTCAGTATTTGTGTACAATATGTGATGATGAAATCATTATTATTAGCATATTCATTATTACAAATCATAATTATTCTTTGTGTCTCTTACCCAGTTTCTTCCTACCCCCCTCTCTCCACCTTTCTCACTTCTAGTAATCATAGATTTGTTCTCTCCTTTTGAAAGTTCAATGTATTATTGTGTTGTTTCTATTTTCTTCCCTCCCTTCCTTTCTTCCTCCTTCCCTTCCCTTTCCTTCCCTTCTCTTTCCTTCCCTTCCCAGTCTAACTGGGGTGAAATGATATCTCAATGTGGTTTTGATTTGCATTTCCCTGATGACTAGTGAAGTTGAGCATTTTTCCATGTACCTGTTCGCCATTTGTATATCTTCCTTTGAAAAAAGTCTATTCAGCTCTTTTCCCCATTTTTTAAATTGGATTATTTGTTTTTTACCATAAAGTTGTTTGAGTTCCTTGTATATTCTCGTTATTAACCCCTTTTCAGATGTGTAGTTTGTGAATATTTTCTTCCATTCTGTAGGTTGTCTTTCTGCTCTGTTGATTGTTTCCTTTGCTGTGCAGAAGCTTTTTAGTTTGATATAATCCCATGTGTTTATTTTTTCTTTTGTTGCTTATGCTTTGGGGATCATATTCATAAAGTCTTTGCCCAGTCCTACTTCCTGGAGTGTTTTCCCTGCGTTTTCTTCTATGAGTTTTATAGTTTCAGGTTTTACATTTAAGTCCTTATCCATTTTGAGTTGATTTTGGCAAAAGGTGAGAGGAACAGGTCTGGTTTCATTCTTCTACATATGAATGTCCAGTTTTCCCAGAGCCATTTATAGAAGAGACAGTCTTTTCCCCAGTGTGTGTTCTTGTTGTCTTTGTCAAAGATCAGTTGGCTGTAAGTGTGTGAGTTGATTTCTGGGTTCTCTATTCTGTTCCATGTGTCTGAGTGCCTGTTTTTATGCCAGTACCATGCTGTTTTGGTTACTATAGCTTTGTAGTATAATTTGAAGTCAGGTAGTGTTATACCTCTGGCTTTATTTTTTTTGCTCAGGATTGCTTTGGCTATTCAGGATCTTTTGTTGTTTAACATGAATTTTAGGATTTTTTTTTCTATATCTGTGAAGAATTTCATTGGTATTTTGATGGGGATTGCATTGAATCTGTAGATCACTTTGGGTAGTGTGGACATTTTCACAATGTTAATTCTTCCAATCCAAGAGTGTGGAATGTCTTTCCACCATTTTGTGTCTTCTTTAATTTCTTTTGGTGCTGTTTTGTAGGTCTTTTTGTAGAGATTTTTCACCTCCTTGGGTAAATTGATCCCTGTGGGGGTGAATTTTTTTTCGGGGGTAACTATTGTAAATTGACTTGGGGTCTTGATTTATTTTTCTGCTAGTTCGTTACTGAAGTATAAAAATGCTACTGATTTTGAATGTTGATTTTGTATCCTGCACTTTTGCTGAAATTGTTTATTAGCTCTAAGAGTTTTTTGGTAGAGTCTTTAGGTTTTTCTATATATAGAATCATGTCATCAGCAAACAGGGACAGTTCAACTTTATCTTTTCCAATCTGGATGCCCTTTATTTATTTCTCTTGACTGATTGGTCTGGCTAGTACTTCCAATACTGTGTTATATAAGTGTGGTGAGAGTGGGCATCCTTGTCTTGTTCCCACTCTTAAGGGGAAAGCTTTCAGTTTTTTTTTCATTCAGGATGATATTGGTGATTGCTTTGTCATAAATGGCTTCTATTGCATTGAGATACTTTATTTTTATGCCTAATTTGCTGAGAGCCTTTATCATGAAGGAATGTTGAATTTTGATGAATGATTTTTCTGCATCTATTGAGATGATCATATGATTTTTGTCCTTGATTTTGTTAATGTGATGCATCACATTTATTGACATGCATATGTTGAACCATCTTTGCATCCCTGGGATGATTCTAACTTGATCATGGTGTGTAATATTTTTGACATGTTGCTGAATTCTGATTACTAATATTTTGTTGAGGATTTTTATGTCTGTGTTCATCAGAGATATTAATCTGTAGTGGGGTTTTTTTGTCTAGTTTTGGTATCAAGGTGATGTTGGCCTCATAGAATGAATTTGGGAAAGTGGCCTCTGTTTCAATTTTGTGGAATAGTTTGAAGAGAATTGGTAGAATTCAACAGTAAAGTCATATCGTCCTGGGCTTTTCTTTGTTGGGAGACTGCTGATTACTACTTCAATTTTGTTGCTTGTTATTGGTGTGTTCAGTTTTTCTATTTCTTTTTGGTTCAGTCTTGGTAGTTTGTCTGTGCCCAGAAATTTATCCATTTCTTCCAAGTTTTCATATTTGTTGGCATATGGTTGTTTATGAAGGTCTCTAATGATTCTTTGTATTTCTGTATCAATTGTAAAGTCTCCTTTTTCATTTTTGATTTCTGTTATTTAGGTCTTCTCCATTTTTTTTGTTTGTTTGTTAACCTAGCTAATGGTTTGTCTATTTTGTTTTTCTTTTCAAAAAACCAACTTTTTGTTTTATTGATCTTTTGTATTATTTTTGGGGTCTTCTCTCTATTTTTGCTCTGATCTTAATTATTTCTTTCCATCTACTACTTTAAGAATTGGATTGTTCTTGTCTTTCTAGTTCTTTGAGGTATAGCATTAGGTCATTTATTTGAAGTCTTTCTATTCTTTTGATGTAAGCATTTATTGCAATAAACTTCCCTCTCAGTACTGCTTTTGCAGTATCCCACAGGTTTTGATACGGTGTGTCTTTATTTTCATCAGTTTCAAGAAATTTTTTGATTTCCTGTTTAATTTCTTCTTGGACCCATAAGTTGTTCAGGAGACTACTGTTTAATTTCCATTGTTCATATAGTTTCCTAATTTTTGCTTGTTATTGATTTCCAGTTTAAATCCATTGTGGTCTGAAAAGAAACGAGAAATGATTTCAATTTTTAAAAATTTTCTTAGTCTCAATTTAAGACCTAACATGTGGTCTATCCTGAAGAATGTTCCATGTGGTGATGAGAAGAGTGTATATTCTGTAGTTGTTGGATGGAATGTTCTGTAGATATCTGCCAGGTCCAATTGATCTAAGGTGTAGTTTAAATCCTGTTTTTCTTTGTTGATTTGTTGCCTAGATGATCAGTCCAATTCTGAGATAGAGGTGTTTAGGTCCCTCGCTATTATTGTATTGGGTCTATCTCTTTCTTTAGATCTAATTATGTTTGTTTTACATATCTGGGTGCTCCAGTGTTAAGTACATACCTATTTATGATTGTTATGTCTTCTGGCTGGGTAGATCCTTTTATCATTATGTAATGGCCTTCTTTATCTCTTTTTTGTAGTTTTTTTTTAAAGTCTGTTGTATTTGATGTAAGAATACCTACTACTGCTTATTTTTGCTTTCCACTTGCATGGTATATCTTTTTTCATCCTTTCACTTTTAGTCTGTGTGTCTTTACAGGTGAGGTGAGTCTCTTGAAGATAGCATATCTTCAAGGGTCTTCTTCAGGGTCCAGCTTTTTAATCCAATCAGTTTGTGTCTTTTCAATAGGGAATTTAATCCATTTATGTTTAGGGTTGTTATGGACAGGTATTATCTTACTCCTGGCATTTTATTGCTTTTTGTTTAGGTGTTTTTAATATCTTTTGTTCCTTTCTTCCACTTTTATTGTTTGTCTTTGATGTTTGTTGTTTTTTTGAGGTGGTAAGATTTAGTTTCTTTCTCATTTTTGTGTGGATTTTTGTTCTACCAGTGAGTTTTGTTCTTTCTTGTGTATTCATGATAGTGATTATCACTTTTTAGATTCTAAATACAGGACTCCCTAGAGAACTTCTTGCAGGGCTGGTTGTGTGGTGGTGAAATCCCACAGTTTTTGTTTGGGAGATACACTATTTCTCCCTCATTTCTGAAGGATAGCTTTGTTGAGAATAGTATTCTTGGCTGGCAATTTTTTTCTTTTACCATCTTGCCTGTAGAGTTTCAGTTGAGAAGTCTACCGTTAGTTTGATGGAGACTCCCCTATAGGTGAATTGATGCTTTTCTCTTGCTGCTTTTCTCTGCTTCATTTTTGAGCTTTGCCAATTTGACTGTAATGTGTCTCAGAGAGAATGTTTTTGGATTGAATCTGTTTGGGGACCTTCAAGCTTCCTGTATCTGAAGGGCCATGTCTCTCCCTATACCTAGGAAATTTTCTGTTATTATTTCATAGGATAGGTTTTCAATGACTTTTCCTTTCTCCTCTCTTTCTGGAATACCCATGATTTAGATGTTGTGTACTTAAGGTTGTGTGCTAGCTCTCTTAAATTTTCCTCATTTTTTAAAATTCTTTTTTCCTTTTTTTGGTTCACCTGGGTTATATCAAAAAGACCATCTTCAAGATCTGAATTTCTTCTGCTTGCTCTAACCTATTGCTTAAGCTCTCAGTTGTGTTTGTCTGTTTGTTTGTTTTTTTAATGTCTTTGAATGTATCCTTCTGTTCCAGGAGTTCTGCTACATTCTCTTTTAAGGTATTAATCTCTTTGTAAATTTCCTCTTTCTTATCCTGGATATTTTTTCTCATGTCATTGTGTTCTCTAATCGAGTCTTCTCTTATCTCTGAGTTTTCTTAAGATTCTTGCTCAGAATTCCTTTTCAGTTATTTCAAGAGTTTCTTGCTCTATGGGGTATGGTACTTGAGAATTACTGTATTCCTTTGGTGGTGTCATATTTTCTTATTTATTCATATTACTAGTATCTACATTGATGTCTGGTAGAGCAGTTGTTTCTTCTGTTACTATGTAGTGGGCTTTGAGGAGAAAGACTTCCTCCTCTATTTGCAGGCTCTGCAGGTGACTCTCCTTATGTCAATGCAGCCAAGTGTGTGGCAGGTTGCCTGCACTGTGGTCCTGGCTGCTACTGTGGTGGTGAGCCATCCTTGTGGTGGTGGCTGTAGTGGACCACTTACATGGAAGTAGTGTTTGTGGTTTGATCTTGACTTCTGTTCAGGTGGTAGGAGGGTTGCTCAGGGCTTCTGCCTGGATCCCTGGTTGTGAGAGGCTCTCTTGCCTTCTGATCTACAATGAAGAATTCACTTCTCTGAAGATGAGGGATCCACATGAAAGATGTCGGATCCACGTGAAAGATGTCAGGCAGGACAGCTATATAGTCAGGATCTTACATTTCTGGAGCCAAACAGACCTTGGTTCAAACCCCAGTGTGAACATTTAGCTGGGTAATAACAATGCTACCTTTCCTGCAGGAAGCTGAGTGAATGGAAGGAAACCACTGAATCCAGGTCCTGATATATGGCAAGCAGTTCCTTGGTGGTAGCTCCCATTATTTTTGTGTTTGTTGGATCAGTCAGATCTGGGCATGGTTAGTCTAGGTTTTTACTGGAACCCAAAAGATGGCTCTAACCCTAGAATTCAGCATGCCTTTGTTGGAACTCTGGGTCTGTAATTTGCCTTGATTATGTGTTCTCACCAAGGCTTTCAGCTTCTCTGATTCTTAGTTTCCCCATCTAAAATAGTTCTGTTTCTTAGAGCTGATTCACAATGCTTTTTTGCATTTGTGGAAGCAGTGTGTGTGCTATAGAGGATTGAACAGGTGTAAAAGATGGTTAAGAAGGAAACGATGCACATGAACATGACCTGGACTGTTACCTACTCAGTTCTTTATGTGCATTGACTCTCTAACTTTTATGACAGCCCTAAAAGGTAGGAACTCTTAGTATTCCCATCTGACAGATGAGGAAACCTGAAAAGACACAGGCACAGGGGGATGTCGCTTGCCCAGGTCACATAGATAGTAAGTAGAGGAGCCAGGAGGGAAGCCAGGTCATCTGATTTAAGGGACAGCACCTCTAACCACTACTCCTCACTGCTTCCCTTTGGTTACAGAGCATCTGTCTATTCTTACAAGACCTTATCGAGCATGTGTGCTGGGTTGAATAACATCCTCCCAAAATGCACATCCACCCAGAACCTCAGAATGAGAGCTAATTTGGAAATAGGGATTTGTAGATATAATTAGTTAAATTAAGATGAGATCATCTTGGGCTAGAGTGGGCCCTAACCCAATGAATAGTGTCCTTAAAAGGACAGAAAACAGAGGAGACACAAATGTAGGGGAGAAGATCTGTGAAGATTGAAGCAGAGTGGAGTGCTATGTCTACAAGCCAAGGCACACCTAGGGCTTCCAGCAACCACCAGGAGCTAGACAAGGCAAAGAGGGATCCTCCCCTAGAGCATTTAGAGTAGGAATGGCCCTGCAGACTCCAGAACTATACGAGAATCATTTCTGTTGTTTTAAGCCACCCAGGTTGTGGTATTTTGTTACAGAAGCCCTAACACACTAACACACTAAAACAGCATCATATCTAGGGGAGTAGAAGGGAATCAGTTACCCAGGAAACATTGGCCAGCTCCTTTACGAGCATGGGACAAGCTTCAATACCTGGCAGGCATCCTTTCCACCTTCAGGAGTCCCAGCACATATCATGTTCTTGGTAATTAGAGATATAGCATGGAGACACTTGTCCCAGTTTATAAGCTTGAGGTCAACTTTCATCAGCTTTGCAGAAACAGCTTGCTTATGAAATGGATCTAAGAAGAAGCAGATAGAGAGCAGGTCCTAAGCCCAAAGTGTTTACTTTTGGTTGGGGGCAAGCATCCACATTATACCTTTTCACTTCAATGTCAAGGGAACTTCCCTATGGCCCAGAGAACAACCCAAATTTGGACTGAGTAGGACGGGTGTGGGAGGGGTGTCTAGGTGGGTGACTCTGCAGCCTACTCTCTCTGAATGAAGAGCTCCCCAGAACGGGGTTCCTGCTCAGTCTCAGCCAGAGTGCATCATCTCTCCACCTTGCAGCATGCACCAGGCTCCTGTTAGGATTCTGAAAAGGTGTTTTGTCCAAATTCGTAAGAATGTAAGGAGAACCCATGATGCCAAGTTATGTTCTAGGGCCCAAGGCAGATAAAGACAGGCTTGAATCATGTCAGGGCCCTCCATGTTCACTGCCTATGGAGGAGGTGAACCCAACACCTGGGATGTTCACTCCCCAAAGTTGGGAATGTTTCCCTATTTGTGTATTGCTAAATCCCCAGTGCCTAAGACATTGCCTGGAACATAGAAGAGGCTCCATGAGCTCTAGGTTAAGAAGGTGGCCTTTTTTTTTAAGCTCACGAAAAGCCTTGAAGGACAATTGTTAACGAGCTCTGAGCTGTGGGATCACACTGGAATAAACATAAACCATTTGAGTGCCTACTTGGAAGAGCAGTGCTGGAATCTGTTTTTTCTGCTCTGTTGATTATGGGGCAAGATGCGCTTCCCCAAAACGGGATCATTTTGTGGGTTGGCTGGGAAGGGGCAGGTTGGTTCTATAAGAAAACATGTGCAGTTTACTCCCTTTCCTTGACCTGCATCTATGGTTTTCAGATATTTTAACCCCAGAGGACTTTGCCACAGGAGAGCTGATATGACATCTTCACGTGGAACAGAGGTACTCTGGACAACGTTGGCTTGGACTTCCTGCAGCCCTGTCCATGGAGGCCACCCCTTTGCCCATTAGACATGTCCCTCAAAATTCCTCTGAGTCACCCCTTAGGCTCTGAAAACTTTTGCCTGGATTATCCCTGAGACTCTGCTTAGGGTTTGTGTGTCACAATATGAGCATACAGCTTGCTGCAGAAGGCCCAGAAGGCCCAGCGGATTGAGGAGGAGGCTTCTCTTGGACCTTCAGTGAGAACCTGAAGTCCCTGGATCTCTCAGGCAGATTTCCCAGGGATGGCGGAGCCTCCAGAGTGTGTTTCCCATTGCAAACACCAGCCAGGGCCTCCATCCCCCCACGGGTCAGCCTACAGTCACTCACCGGTAGTGCCATACCCGGTCACCCAGCAGTTTCTCCACCTCCTCATGTCAGTGACCTCTGAAAGACAGATGGGTGCGGTGCTGACACTCAAGTTCAATGGCGATTGGAGCAAGAGCAAAGCAACATCGTTATCCATTATCCAGGGGTCAAAATAAGGGTGAGTGATTAGCTTGGCCACTTTCACCCTTGTCGAGTTCTGATTATTAAAGTCGTCTATGCCATATGCGATCGTCAAGAATCTTATTTTCAACCAGAAGAAAGAGAAAAAGGTCAGTGGTGGAAGGGTCAAAGGTAAGCCCTAAGAGAAAATAATTCTGCCAGTCTGAGGCTGTGACCCTCAGAAGTGTAGGCTGGGGTCGTGGGGACATCCAGGGCTGTTTACTGGCTATGGAGCCAAGAAAAGAGCCCCAACTGTGCAGCAGGAGACAGAGCTGAGTTCCAGTCCTTCCCCATTGTTCACCAGCTCTTGGCCTGATGGCCCCTTGTACCTGATGGCAACTTGTACCTTTTATCCACAAGTGTCTGGGAAGCTGTGCTACACACAAGTAACTGAGGGGCTTGACATTGATTCGCAAGAAGAGCTGGACTGCCCCAACAACATGCACTTGGGACGGTTCTCAAAAATACCAGGTTGTGAACTTGGGCATAAATCAGGAGCCTCCGATACGCTGTCAGGCCTGGAGCCTGCCCTAGGGTCCTAATACCTTCGAGAACTCTGACTCCATGGTCACTCACAGCCCACTGTCTCTCCAAGTGAAAGCACATACTCAGGGAAGTACTTTCTAGAGGTTTGGACCAGGACCCCATATACTGAGCAAGATGCCAAGAATTCCAAGGGACATTTGTCTAAGTTGTAAGACATTGCAACTTAGAGCACATGCAGCAATGTCAAACACATTCTAGGAGAGCAGCTCCCTTCCCACCTGCAAAATGTAGCTACACAGGCCTGTATTTAGCCATGTGGTATTTTGCTCTGTGGCTGACAAACCGAGGTGAGAGTCCAGGAAAATAATAAGCCCATGGGGCAAATATTCTACCGTACCGTTTTTTAAAAATTTCTGTTTGCAATGCTTACTTATTTTTTCTTTCGAAGCAATGGGATGCCGTTAGAATCCACCACTCGCTGAGAACAGATCCTCCACAAAGATGTTGTCCATTGTGAAGAACGCTCACTTGCCATGGAAAGTCTGTGATGTCTGCATGCTCCCCGCCTAAGATACCAGAAGAGTTCAGCGTCTCAGATCTGCTGCTGACTCTCCGGCCACATGTTACTGAAGGAAGAAAAGAGGAGGAGGGAGGAAAGAGCCAGGGACGAACAGTCAAGGCTGTGTGGCCTGGAGGAAACTTCACGTACGGGTTGTCCTTCCCTCCCACACACAGACAGCAGTGGCAGAGCCAGGTTAATGCTGGCTGGGGACCCACCAGACACGCCATCCACCGTGGGCCTGCCAAGGGCACCATAAAGGTTGAAAATGTGCTTATGCGGAGCGGTGGCCGCGACTTCGCCAGAGCCTGCCTTCTTAAAGGGTCCTCCCCAGGAGGCCTGTGAGGAGAGGGACGCCAGCCACAAGCCCTGGGGCCAGATCTGCAACTGCCCACAAGGAAGGAAGCCACAGGGGACATCCACTTGTCTGAAGCCGTGCCCCGCCATGCTCTGAGCAGCAGGGCCGTGGTGTGGCGTGCTGGCATGCACTGGAAATCCTCTCCTCAGCTCTGGACACATATTCTCAGGGGCCCTTCCAAGCGGATGTCCCACAGACAGCAGGCGTTCCACAGGCCAAGGAAGGCGACGAGTCCCCCGCCCCTCCCGGTTCTTCTCCTGCCTTCCCTGTTGTCATTGCTGGCACCAGCTTTCACCCGGTTTTAACTCTACGGACCATCCTGATGGCACCTTCAGAGGAATCAAACCATTGGCATTTCCGGCGTGACAGGACGGTTCACACGTCTTCTGATGCCTTTCCAATACCATTCGAATCATGAGAAAAATAGAGTAAAATGTACAAGGTTGAGTGCTTCCTATTTGCCAGGTACTGTTCTGTCTTGTTTAACTTGATCTAATTCTCTCGTAAACCCCATGAGGTAAGTGAAAGGAACGTTGCCCCATTTTAAAGGAGAGATGACGGAGGCAAGTTTAAGGTCAGGCACCGCGCCAAGACCTGACAGTTAGTATATGACTGGGTATGACTGGAGCACAGGCATCTCCTCCAGAGTCTGTTGACAATGACATTCAGAAATTCTTCACCATAAAGCACAATAGGAGAAGGTATTTCTGGTTAAACCATCTTCATCCACACATCACCACTACCCACATGTTCTGTCACCACACAGGCCCATGGCCACATTCCCCCTGCCACACAACCACACTCCTTCCACCACAGACCCCACACCCCACACCACACACCACACACCGTATACCCCAAACTACACACCACACACCCCACACCACACTCCTACCACAAACCCCACACCACACTCCTCCCACCACACACCACAAACCACACACCACACCCCACACCACACACCTGACACCACACTCCTCCCATCACACACCACACTCCTCCCACCATACACCCCACACCATGCATCCCACACACATTGCACACAATACGCCACACTCCTCCCACCACACACCCCAGACCACACCCCACACCACACTCTTCCCACCACACACCACACTCTTCCCACCACACACCACACAACACACTCCTCCCACCACACACCACACAATGCATACCCCAAACTACACACCACACACCGCATACCACACTCCTCCCACTACACAACACAGACCACACTCCTCCCAGCACACACCCCATACCACACTCCTTCCATCACACACCCCACACCATACAGCCCACACACATCACACACCATATACCACAGACCACTGACCCCGCATCCCACGCCACACATCCCACACCACACATCCCTATACCACCACACGACCTCACACCACACAACCCCATACCACACATCATACATTTCATATGACCACACAGCCTGCACTACACAACCCCATATTACACAATCCCACCTCACCCCCATACCACACAACCCTACACCACACAAGCCCATATTACACAATCCCACCACACCCCCTACCATACAACCCCACACCACACATTCCACACCATACAACCCCACCAACACACATACCCACACCAAACAACTTCACATCATGAAACCTCACAGCACACAACCCTACCACCATATAACCTTCAGAGTCATTCTCTCGTCTTGATAAATAGAACCTAATTCCCTTCTATCTATATTAATCTCTTTAGCAAATAGTCGCTTGGCCACACCCTTAATATTCTTTCCCAAACATATTTTTTTATTCTTTTTTACAAAGCCAGGATGAGTGTTTTCCAAATATTTCTGTTTTGCTTCCCTTTTAATTATACATTCAGTCTTTAAATCATTTCATTTTACTGTAAGCAGCCCCCAAAAAGCCACACAGCACCTTGACCACTTTGCTGCTTAGATATTTCTTCTTCCAGATATCCTAGTTCATCATTCTTATGTTCTGCCTTCCACAAAGTCCTGGGACATGGACACAGTTCTGCTAACTTCTTTGCAACTGTATAACAAGGATGGTCTTTACTCTAGTTTCTAATACCTTGTTCCTCATTTCTGTCTGAGACCTCATCAGAATGGCCTTTACTGTCCGTATCTCTACCAAAATTCTGATCATGACCACTTAAATAATCCCTAATAAGATTTAGGATCTCTCCACAGATCTTGTCTTCTTCTGAGTCTTACCAGATTTGCCCTTAAAGCTCCATTCACAGCTTTTTCTAGCCTGCTTCTCCAAATTCTTTTATCCCCTCCCCATTACCCAGTTACAAAGCCATTTGCACATTTTCAGATATTTGCTATAGCAGCCACCCCACTTCTCAGTACCAATTTTCTGTCTTAGTCTGTTTTATGCTGCTATAACAGAATACCACAGACTGGGTGATTTATAATGAACTGAAATTTATTTGGCTCATGGTTCTAAAGGTTGGGATGTTCAAGAACATGGTGCCAGCATCTGGTGAGGACCTTCTTGCTGAATCATGACATGGCAGAAGGCATCACATGGGCACAAGAGAGTGAGAGAGGGCAAGAAGGAGTCAAACTCACTGTATAAAACCCACTCCTGCAATAACAAACCAACTCCCAAGATAACATTAATCCATTCATGAAGTCAGAGCCCTGTGACCTGAACAACCCCTATTAGGGCGGCACCACCTTCCAACACTGTTGCACTGGGGATTAAGTTTCCAACACATGAACTTTGGGGAATACCTTCCAACCACAGCAGGCTGAAACCACATCTGACTAACTTTTTATTAGTATCCCCCAGCTAAGAGGCTGGTGCATGGCAGAAATCGAATACATACTGATTGAATGAATGGACGGACGGATGGATGGACGGGTGGATGGATGAGCATTAAAGATCTTAACATCAATGGTAAAAATTTCTTAACGAACCAGTGACCTGTATAGATGATCAGGGAAATAAGGAACCTCAGTTCAAAGATGCTATTTTCCCTTCTCACCAACAGAGGCATCTGCACTTTGAGTTTCTAAATCAGGAAACCTGGGGCAGGAGAAAGTAAGTGGCCCGTAAAGGTTTCATCTCTTTTGAAGATGTAGAGAGTAAATAAGTAGCTGGTGCCCAGGAACATCTGCTTTACCCCATTGCTGACATTAAAGGAGACATGTTTTGGCATTCCTGGAGGAAGACCACACATTGCCAGGAGCTTGCAGCCTAATCTCAGAAGGAAAACGTCTGATTCTTCAGGGCCAACAAGGAAACCTTGGAATTAACATACAGTAAAGAAATTTTAGTCTCTGGGAAAATTTTAAAATAACTAAAATGATGATTTGTGAATGTTTAAACATAACTACTGATAATTAGGGGTCAGGTCATATTCACAATTAAAAATTCTCATCATATTGGTCCCACTTTTCTTTCTGATACATAATGACAGTTATGTATCATTTATTGAGCAGCTGTATTGTGTGTGTATGTGAGAGAGACATTTAATAATCCCAACAAACCTCCAAGATGTATTTTATCACCCCATTTTGCAGATGAAGAAACAGTCTCTGAGAGATCATGTGATCGCCCAAGATCATTCAGCTTGTAAAAAGCAGGTGGGGATTTTGCAGTCTGGTGTGTCTATTTCTGAAGCCCAGCTGTTCTCTTCGTCCTGTTCATAGCTTCCACGGTGTGTCTATGTTTCAGCAA